CGGAACACTACTCATAATTATCGAAAATTTATAGTTTATAAAATTAATTATTAGTAAAAGAAAAATCACTATACCTATTTTATAAGCTAAATTTACTTCAACTGCGAGTTCCCACTGGTTGAAAATCGAAAAAACGGCACCAAATCGTCAAACATTTAGCATACTATTCAGCAAACATTCAGCAAAAATTCGTCAAACATTCGGTTACAATCGCTGCCACTCGGCATTAACAAATGCTGAGTGGCAGCGATTGTAACATTCGGTAGCTGAATGTTTGACGAATGTTTGCTGAATGTTTGCTGAATAGTATGCTAAATGTTTGACGATTTGGTGCCATTTTTTCGATTTTCAACTAGTGTATCCTTTACTATATTTTTGTTTTTATTCTAGGCATTTACAATAAAATTTGTATTAACGTCATTGCAGAAACTTTGATTTTAGCTAAATTAATAATAAACTAATACACTGATTGAAAATAGAAATAACGATACCAAATCGTCAAACATTCGGCATTCCATTCATAAACCATTTGGCAAATATTCGTCAAACATTCAGCTGCCGTTTGGTACAATCGCTGCCACTCGGCATTTGTTAATGCTGAGTGGCAGCGATTGTACCAAATGGCAGCTGAGTATTTGACGAATATTTGCCGAATGGTTTATGAATGGAATGCCGAATGTTTGACGATTTGGTATCGTTATTTCTATTTTCAACCAGTGATAGTAATCAAATTAATATTTTCTTAATAATTTATAAAATAATGTTAATTATATTATAATTATATTAGGTCATACAAAGTTAATTAATTGTTTCTCTTTACATGTGGATTTAAAAATTCCCAAAAATGAGTAGTTTCAAGAACAAGAAACCCATTGATTATCACATGACACTCGGCCTAAATTAAGGTTAAGTTTAGAGCATAATTTAGGCTGATTTTGTTAGTGCTAGTAACTAAATGACGTCATTGTACATCATGTAGATCACTGGGTTCCTTGTTCTTGAATTGTCCCTTTGTTTTACTTTGTATTTTATCAAGGTCTACGGAATAAACTGGTCTAAAAAGATTACCTAATCATGGTTAGCAGATCTATTGAAATTTGAAATTGTTTTTAAAAATTCGCATCATTCCGAAATTACTCATTGTAGATCAATTTTCTGAAAGTCGTTTTACTGACAGGTCATTTCAATGATATATTGGCCCAATTTTTTATTTTCCGTGAAATGACTGTCGGTGAAATTAGACATAACTGGACATTTCACGTAAAATGACCTGTCGGTAAAATGACTTTCGGAAAATTGAGCTACCATATAAAATTTGAATTTCTATCAAATATAAAAAAATCTAAATTACAACTATATGTATTTTTGATCAAGCTTTCAGATCATGCTTCACATGAAAATAATCCTTTGTGCACAACTATTTTAGAATCAAGTAAATATATAGAAATAAAATGATACATGCTTTAAAATTATTTACATATCGATAATCCTTTAAAAGATCTTTTAAGATATGTACTGTATATATAGCTGAGGTTCTAGTTTAGACAATTTTTTATTTTTCAAATAATAAAAAGGCTTGTTATTTCAAGTTCGTTTAATAAAATTCGTGATAATACGTATAAACATAAAATTTCAATTATTCATATATTTGTAACACCAAATAATGTCAATACATTCAAAGGATTCATTCGATATAACAAACAATACAAGTATCGAAGAAAAAAAATTATTAAAAAAACTTGATCTAAGAATTATTCCTTTAGTTACGCTTCTTTTTACCCTTAGTTTCTTGGATAGGTATATACAGTATATCTTAATTTAATTATAAATTTTATAATAAATTCATGAGTCTTGTTATTTTATTTAGGGTTAATATTGGAAATGCGAAACTAACTAATTTGGAACGTGATCTTAATTTAACTGGAAATGAATTCAATTGGTCTTTAAGCATATTCTTTATGTAAGCATTTCTTCATTTTTATTTTTTGATTTTTGATTATAATGGATTTTTTTTTTAACTTTTTGCATTTGCAGCGGTTATATAATATTTGAAGTGCCGTCCAATATCGCATTAATCAAGATCAGACCTTCAATTTGGAGTAGGTTTCATTTTTTTTTTTTTTCTTATACAAATTTAATTGGTAATTATTTATATCGTTAATTTCTATTTTTAGTTTCAACACTCATGCTTATATGGGGTATCATAATGATATGCATGGCATTTGTAAGTACTAAGGATATTTAGTAGAAATCTATTTTAATAAACTTATTGATTTAAATTCTGAATTATTTTTAAAGGTAAAAAATTTTTCACAATTGATGGTTACAAGATTTTTATTGGGTATTTTTGAATCTGGACTTTTTCCAGGTATCATATTCTACCTTACAAAATGGTACAAGAAATCTGAACAAAATTATCGAATCGGGGTGTTTTTTTCTGGTGCTACAATTGCTGGTGCATTTAATGGTCTTTTGGCATTTGCAATTACAAGTTTGGATAGTAAATACGGCTTGAATGGTTGGCAATGGGTACATAAATTTACATATTTTATTCTCTTACTTGAGTACATTCTCGGATTCTTTTAATTTTTCTATTGTATATTTTTCTTCCCTCCTCAGTTATTTATTATTGATGGTTCGGCGACAGTTATCGTTGCACTTTTCGCTTATTATTTAATCTCTGATTCTGTGGAAACCGTTTCTTGGCTTACAGAAGATGAACGAAAGTTGGCTATTGATCGATTAAGACTTGATGCGGGAGATGCCCATTCATCTCATTTTGACAAAGTTGAGATCATCAAAGCTTTTAAAGATGCGGTAATGTATATTAAAATTTATTGTTAAAATATGTATTAACTTGTATAAAATAACTAATTAATTCATCTAATTATTTAGAAAATTTACCTGTCTATGATTCCATATTTTTGTATACTTGTTGCTTTATATTCTTTTTCTTTTTTCATTTCAACGATTGTAAACGGTCTAGGATTTAATATTGGTAATGTTTAAATTTTATTATTACCTAGTTTACCAATCAAAAAAAAAAAAAAAATTTTCTAACTTATCGCTATTTTTTCTAGTTATTTCCCAACTTCTTTCAATTCCTCCATTTGTTTTTGGATGCATTTCATCAGTCACGATAGCGATATTATCTGATCGTTATAGAATTCGTAGTCCATATCTGATGTTTTCTATGTTAGTGTCAGTTATAGGATATTCATTACTCGTTGTACAGAGTAATAGTATTGCTTGTAAGTAAATTTTAATTTTCAAAATACATGTATTTTTTTTTTTTTTTTTGCTATAGTAATATTTATTATTTTTAGTGAAATATACTGGTGCTTGTATTGTTGGGTTTGGTTTATTTGCAGGTATTCCAACTTTACTTGCATGGTAAGTCTATATACTCTTTTTTTTTTAAATAAAAAATTAAATTGATTTTTATAGCAAAAATTTCATAAATTAACATTAGTCTATCTAAAAAAAATTTTTAACTTTCTATTACATATAAAATAGGTTGACAAATAATCTGGCAGGTGAATCAAAAAGAGCAGTAGGTTGCGCAATGGTGATAGCTTGTGCTAACATAGGTGGAATAGCAAGCGCACAATTATATACCTCTAATGATGCACCTGACTATAAATCTGGTCATTCTATTGCATTATCACTTTTGCTTGTTGGAGTAATTTTCACTATAATTCAATATTATTATTTAAAAAGAGTTAATAAATTAAAGCTTAATGATTCTACTAAATTTTTAAAAGGACTTAGTGAGGAGAAGATTAAACATTTGGGTGACATGCATCCTTCGTTTATTTATAGCTTGTAATATATTATTATCTTTATAATCTTGATGTATTAAAAGTTAAAATATTCTTATTAAATTTAATAAATTTTAATAGTACCTTTTCTTATATTATAAATTAAAAAGATCTTATTCAGTAAATTATTTTCAGGTTTCTGCGTAAAGTTGTATAGTCGGTACTTGTGATTCTAACAGTAATAAAATTGATTTAAAACTCATTGAGATATTGATTTTTAAAGATTTGGTATAGAAATTAGGTATAGTGATTTTTCTTTTACTAATAATTAATTTTATAAACTATAAATTTTCGATAATTATGAGTAGTGTTCCG